GCAGCAGTAACAGTAGCAGCAGTAGCAGCAATGTAGCAGAAGTAGCAGCAGCAGCAGCAGCAGCAGCAGTAGCAGCAGTGCAACAGCAGCAGCAGCCGCAGCACCACCACCACCACCAGCATCACCAGCATCACCAGCCGCAGCAGCGGCAGCAGCATCACCAGCAGCAGCATCACCAGCCGCAGCAGCAGCAGCAGCAGCACCAGCAGCAGGAGCAGCACCAGCAGCAGAAGCAGCAGCAGCAGCACCACCACCACCACCAGCATCACCAGCAGCAGCACCACCACCACCACCAGCATCACCACCAGCCGCAGCACCACCACCACCACCACCACCACCACCACCAGCATCACCAGCAGCACCAGCATCACCAGCAGCAGCAGCAGGAGCAGCAGCAGCAGCAGCAGCAGCAACATACCCGAACAAATCCTCATAAACCCTCATAAGTTTACACTGGCCAACAGCAGCAAGAGCTTGTTTATATTGTAAAGAAGACGGTCTGCTGCTGCGGTGTATAGAAGCACAACCAACACCCACTGCTCCGCTCGTTATTAATATAACTAATGCTCCAGCAGCACGTAAAGAACAAACCTGAATATATAAATAATAAATAAATAAATATATTTATTTATTTTTATTTTATTTTTTTTTGTTTTGTCTTTTTATTGTCTTTATTTCTATATATTTATCTCTATAGAGACATACAAAAAGCAACAGCAGCACGTAAAGAACAAACCTAAAGAGAGAAAAAATATATAAATATATTTATTTGTTTATTTTTATTTTATTTTATTTAGTTTTATTTTTTTATTGTCTTTATTTCTATATATTTATCTTTATAAAGACAAACAAACAACACACACTGCTCCGCTTGTTATTAATATAACTAATGCTCCAGCAGCACGTAAAGAACAAACCTAAAGAGAGAAAAAATAAAATAAAACAAAAATAAATAAATATATTTATTTATTTATTATTTATTGTCTCTTTTTTCTCTTTATTTATATATATTTATCTTTATAAAGACAAACAAACAACACCACTGCTCCGCTTGTTATTAATATAACTAATGCTCCAGCAGCACGTAAAGAACAAACCTGAATATATAAATAAAACATTTATTTATTTATTTATTTATTTTTATTTTATTTTTTTTTTGTTTTGTCTTTTTATTGTCTTTATTTCTATATATTTATTATTTTTATTTTTATTTATTTATTATTTTTATTTTTATTTATTTTTTTTTTTTTTTATTTATTTATCTTTATATAGAGACGTACAAAAAGCAGCAGCAGCACGTAAAGAACAAACCTGAATATATAAATAAAACCTTTATTTATTTATTTATTTTTATTTATTTTATTTTATTTGTTTTTATTTATTTTATTTTATTTGTTTTTATTTATTTTATTTTATTTGTTTTTATTTATTTTATTTTATTTGTTTTTGTTTATTTTATTTTATTTGTTTTTGTTTATTTTATTTTATTTGTTTTTGTTTATTTTATTTTATTTATTTCTATATATTTATCTTTATAAAGACATACAAACAACACCACTGCTCCGCTCGTTATTAATATAACTAATAAATAAATAAATAAATAAATAAATAAATAAATAAATAAATAAATAAAACAAATAAAAATAAATAAAATAAATAAATAAATAAAACAAAATAAATGAATAAATAAACAAAAAACAAAAACTTACAGTATCTATCAATCTGCCTATATTAGTTAAGGAGATAACTAAACAAACAAATAAACATAAATACACCAAAATAAAGATAAATAAATAAATAAATA